AGAACCCTGCAAGCCCAGTTTTTTGTTTTTTGTTTTTTGGTTTTTTTTTGGCCAGGGCTGGGTTTGAACCCACCACTCTGGCATATGGGGCCGGTACCACCCCCATGCAAGCCCAGTTTCAAGTCCTTCCTCTGCCATTTCCCAACTATATAACAACCTTGAAAAGTTAATTAACCTCTGAGATTTTATTCGTCATCTATAAAATGGGTACTGTGAAGGTCAAACACTACATAAGTAAGGCAACCAATTCAGTACCTGACACAAAGAAAGGCATAAGTACCAACCATTGCCATCACATTTATGATTACAGGGTCTCTTGCCCTGTCCTCCCCTACTCCTTCCATTAGACAGTGAGCTTGCTGAGGACAGGGGTCACATCTGACTTTTTTTTTTTGAGACAGAGACAGAGTCTCACTATGTCACCCTGGGTAGGGTGCTGATCACAGCTCACAGCAACCTCCAGCTCTTGGGCTTAAGCAATTCTCTTGCATTAGCCTCCCAAGTAGCTAAGACTACAGGCGCCTGCCACAATACCCAGCTATATTTTGTTGCAGTTGTCATTGTTGTTTAGCTGGCCCAAGCTGGGTTCGAATCTGCCACCCTCGGTGTATGTGGTTGGCACCATAACCACTGTACTACAGGCACCAAGCCACACATCTGATTTTCTTTGTACGCCAGTCCAAGCCTAGGGCTCCCTAAAATGCATCAAATGAATCAGTAAATCAAAGAGAAAGTCTTGAAGGAATAAATTATATCGAACCTCCCCACTCAGTATCAAGTCAACCTGGTTCCCATAGCCCATGCATTGACAGCCCTGACACACAGGCTGGGTGGCCCAGCTCTGCCTGGACCCCTTACCATGTGTCCTCCTAGCTGGAGTCCAGTCATGTGACACAGGACAGTGTGCTGATTTCTCCGCTGAGGCTTAGTCTCCAGTGTTATGGCCACCACCTCACTGCCTGTACCTACCACTTGCACCTGATGGGCAGGGTTGGGGGAGGCAAAGTGGAGAGGCAGTGAATACCTGCAGCCTGCCCTTCTGCCCTGCCCACTTCCTGTAGCCCCTGACTCTTACCTGATATATCAGGGAGCCATTTCCTAGCAGCGTGAGACTGGCTGAGCCAGCAGCACCAGTCTGGACTGGGATCAGGGCATCAGCCCCACAAAGGACACTTTGCAGGACTACAGAGGGACAAGACAGGTGATGGCAGGTTTGCCCCACAGCCACTCAGACCCTTAGGCCCCAGGATCTCTCCCCACCCACCCTAGTTCCTTCCCTGGCACTTGTAAGTGCCTCTCCCTTGTGTGTGCCAGGCCACTAGGCCCCACCCTGCCTCACCATCACAGCTCTGCCTGGCAGCAATGTGTCCACTGATACGCAGTCCTGGCCCACCTGTCTTCTCCAGGGCCATTTGCAGCTCCCCCAGCACCAGCCAGTCCATCTCCTGGACTGTCAGGTTGGGTAGCACCTCAGCAAAGCCTGGCTCCTGGAGACAGAGAAGGGTGTGGTAGGCAAGAGGACAGAGGAGGTGGCAGTGAGAGCCAGACCCCCACTCACCTGGACTGAGGCATTGGCCTGAAGTTCTCGCAGTACCTGCCCCTGGTGCAGAATTTGGAGCCTCAAGGGAACTTGGGCTGGCCCTGCAAGGCCACACATGTGAAAATCTCTGAGATAGGAACTCCTTCCAGCTTCTCACTTGCTTTTCCCACGTCTCACTTACCCCCACTCCTGGGCTCTAGCAACCCCCGGAAGAGTAACAAAAAATGCAAGGAGTCCTCTGTGTCACTGAGAGTAAGTAGGGTAATGCCCCCTACACCCTGCTGTGTGGAGCTGTCCAGAGTCAGGATGGCACTGAAGGTCTCTAGGATAGGAAGGACCAGGAGAGCCCATCAGAAAATCCCCTCCTCAGTCCACCTTATAACTGAGGACAGAGTATACTTAGAACTTCACATACAGGGGCTATTTGCTCCTCTTACCTGCAGCCAGGGCCCGGTGCCGAATGAGAGGCCCCCACACCTCCCCTAAAGGTTGAGTGGATGTCATGAGTGCCACATGCATCTGTTCTGCCCTAAGGAGTCTCAAAGACAACCGAGGCACTGCCCGCCACACCCCACAGACCTGGAGCAGAGAGACAAGAAGGCCCTACACTCAGAGAGTATGTAGCATAGGCCAGCTAAGAGGCAAAGGCCTGGTGAAAAAGCAATATGGAAAGGAGCTCCCCTTAAAGAGGGACCCTGGAGACAGATGTTTGGGTTCAGATCCTGACTCCACCACTTACTAGCTGTATGACCTTGAACAAATCACATTCTGCTACTGTGCCTCAGTTCCCTCGTCTGTAAAATGGGTATCATGTCAGTGCCTTCCTCCCATTGGGCTGTTGTGAGGTCCAAAGGAGGCAATGCAGGGCATGCTCTCAGCACAGTGCCCAGACTCGATAAGCACTCAGAAATGGCATCATCTCACCAGACCATCTCGAGAGGGGGCTGCAGGGTGTTCAAACAGGACACCGCCATTGGAGTCTGAGAAGCGAACCCTGGTGGGACGGTCTAGCCTGGGAATAACAGCACAGATGATGACATGGGAATCTGAGTCTGAGCCAGAAGTAGCCCCAGCTCTCCCAGTTTTCCTCCCTGCCCTCGGGTGACCCCCTCCCGCCTTCTTCCCAGCTCTCACTGCCGATAGGAGATGGAGAAGCGTAGGCTAGAGCGCAGCAGTGAGACTCTAGCCCGTGCCACCGCCTGCGACCTCGGCCCTGTGAGCAGCGCCACGAAGTCTGCGAGGGGAGGAAGATGGCCCATGCACTGTCAACTGGATGGCCGCACGGCCTCAACCACGACCCCACCTCCAGTACCCCTCCTCCCCCACCTACCCGTGTGGCCGTCACCGCGCGCCCGCTCCTCAGCGCCCGGCTCTCCTCGGTCGCTATAACTGCGGTGCTCCGGATCCCGCGGATACTCGAAGGACAGGCCAGTTGGCTGCCGCTCCGGATTGCTGCGCTCTGCGCGAGGGTAGAGAGCACAGGTTTCAGTTGGTCACCCCATTCAAGTGGCCCATAACCTAGTATCGCTGCTGCCTTCCTTCCCGCGAAGCGGGTCTTACCCTGGGGACAGGTCTGGCAGCAGTGTCCCGGTAGCTGGCGGGGCTGCCCACAAGCCAGGGTTGGGCACTCGGGTTTGATGTTTTTGCAGCTGACTCTGCCAGGGCCCCTTGCACGGCGACCCCACTGAAGCTGCTTGTAGAAAAGACATAGAAACCAAATGCGTATTAGATACCTCAGGGCGATGGGGGAGAGTCCAGGGAACAGGACGAAGTGGTCCCCCGGAGTGAGAAAGCTCTGCCACTTACAAGCTGCGTTACCCTAGACAAGTTACCTAACCTCTCAGAATTTTAAGGTCCCTATCTGCAACATGGAATAATAATAGTATCTTTCTAGCAGGGTTGTAATGGGAGTTAAGAGACAAACGAAATGAGGTTGGCACAGAACCTTAAAGTGGGCGATCAATAATAGCACCTAAGACTTGAAAAGGACAATCCTCCCCCTTCCTCCACCACAAAAATATCCTAAATGTCTGCGACTAGCCTCTTTCTCCTCAGCAGCTCCGAGTCCGCTCCGAGTCCACTGCAATGTCCCAGGACATCAGCGCTCCCCCACCCGCAAGGTTCTGGGCTGCGGGGTCTACTCACCGCCTCGCAGGCACACAGCACGCAGCGCATCACCCCAAAGGGCTCCCCCAGGTCCGGGTGCCACGTCTCGTCCAAGGCATAGACCTTCCCGCCGAAGGAACAGCCTGCGGGGACGGGCTTGGCTGGCGGCCGCTGCCCGGCTCCTGCCGTGCGCCCGCCCCAGGCGCTGCCCGCGGGCCCTGGTCCCCGGGCACCACACACCTCGCGGTCCCTGCCCATCTCCAGGCTGCCCGCTGCGCCGAGCCACCTGCGCCCGGCGCCCCCTCCGGGCTGGCGCGGACTTGCCCCAAACCCTGCTCCCTGCTCGCGCCTCCCCCCGGGCGCCCACCTACCTGCCGCTCCACGAACCGGCAGCGGCTCCTTCTCGGAACGGATGGGTAGCGCGGGGGACTCCGAGCCGGCGCCGCGGGCCGGCCGGGAGCTGAGCAGCAGCAGCCCGAGGAGCAGCAGCGGGGCCAGCGGGGCCGGCGGGGCCGGGAGGCTCGGCATGACGCGAACGCGACAGCTGGGGAGGCGGGAGGGAGGAGGGAGAGGAGGGCGGAGGGCGGGGGGCCGGGCCGGGGGCGGTGCGGCGGGGGGGGGCCGGGGCCAGGGCCCGGGCAGTGCTGCGAGGGGCCAGTCGAGTGTCCGCGGAGTCGGCGCCGGGCGGGGCGGGGCGGGAGGAGCGGCCGGGAAGAGCGCGGCCGGGCGGGCGCTGACCCGGGCCGTACGCCGCTCTAGTGCCCCGGGCGCCGGCGCCGGCTCGTTTTATGCCCCGCGCCCGACGCCCCGGCTGGGGGCCTCCTCCTAGGCAAACGGGGCGGCAGCGGCAGCTCAGCGAGGGGCCGGGCTGAGCCCCGGGGTGGGGGGTCCGGCCCAGCGGCAGCGGCCGGGATCGCGAGTGGGGGAGGGGAGGGAGGGGCTGGGACCGGGCAGGGGAGGAGGGAGGGACTGGAGGGGAAGAGGGAGCGAGAGGGTAGGAGGAGGGGAGGGACCAGGGGGCACGAAGAGGGGGAGGAGAGGCGGGCCTGGAGCCCCCCGCTGCCAGTGGCCCCGGGGCGGCTGGACCAGGAGGTGCGTGTCCCACCCAGCACAGGAGCCTCAGGCCAGGGAGGGGCAGAGGCTGGACCTGAGGCCTGGACTAGTCAGTGGGTGAGGACCCAGTTCCTGCCAAAAGGATGAGGACTTGTCCTTAAAGACGACAACGTGCAGGAAAGGCCCATCAACTGATCTTCCTCTGACTCTGGGCCCATGGCACCCGGCAAGCCCCACAATACCCTCTCTCTCTGCCTACCTTGTATCTTTATCTTCTCTCAGAGATCTCCTCTCATTCTTGTGTCACCCAGGACAAGGAGCTAGCTTGGCACTGTTCCCCTTTCTGTCCAGGGACAGTGTCTCCCTCTCTTTTGTAACCTGTCTTTAGGCCCATTCAATCAGGACCCTCTTGTTTTCTTCCTCTCTTCTCGCACCCAGGGGACCCTCTGCCTCTCCAACCTACCTCTTTTGTCTTGGTTTCCTGGTCATGATTGCTTCCCTGTCCCCTCCTACCCCCATGCACCAGCATCCTTCCAGCTATTCCAACACCCTCCTTCCTAATCTTGGGAGGCATCTCCTCTGGCTGAACTGGAGAATTCCGGGATCTAGGCCATACTCCTCAGCAGACATCCCCATCCTTGGGAGGAGGAAAAGGAGAGAGCCTGAAGAAGAAGAGGGGGAGGGAGAAGGGAGGTCAGGCCAGGAGGCCCCTGAGGACAGAGACTCTGGGGAGACTAAGATTGAGGGGAAAGCAAAGGAACTAGATCCAGAGCCAAAAAAAGAGGGGGGGGGTGAGTGGGGGAGGTATTTGCGGAGGAGGTCCAGCAGCTGTCTTTCCTAAGACAGGGACACATGGGCCTGGTTATTCCTCTTGTCACATGTGGAATAGTCGGAGATGGAAAGAGAGGAAGATAGAGCAAGCAAAGGAGGGCCTGGGCACAGAGATAAGTGTGCATAGCTGTCCAAGCAGAAGAGTACCTGGACCCAGGCTTAACCAAGTGCCCACAAGTACATACACACATGCATTTGCCCCTATACCTTATAGTCCTCTCAAACCATCCAAACCTTTTCCCCATAACATTGACTCTTGACAAGATCATTCTCTAATACAGGCAATACCCAGATTCCCACTTGGAAAGGGAGAATGACAAAACAGGACTCCTTATGGGATTATGGGAGGGAAAAGCAGGAAAGCAAGAGTCTTATTGGATTTTGGCAGCAGGTGTAGTAGCCAAGGAAAAGAAATTTAGATAGCCAGAGACTGAAAACTCCACCAATCTAAAACAAGAACTCTGTTCCTCTTCTCCAGGGACAAAAATGTCCTGCCAGTTTCCTCCTGGGAAAAGCCTCTGCTCCTCTCCCATCTCTTCTCCCCTGCCAAGTTCCACATTTCCCATCTCCTTGGAAAAGTCCCCCTATCCAAATCTTCTCTGTGGTGTGTGTGGGTGGAGGAGTGGACCATGGTCCAGGCAGGGGCTCCAGGGAAGAAAAGGCGTCACTTCCGGGGCCTTTACCAGTGTCTGGTGGCTCCCTGCTCTGATTGGGCAGAAGTGGCCTGGGCAGGCGTGTGACCCCACTGCCCTGGAGGGGCTATGCCCCAACGCCACATGTCTTCCTACCCATTTGCCCCCCAGAGTGCTGCCTGCTGTGCACTTGGGTCCCTGAGGCCTTCTCTACCCGGTGAGTGGCAAGCAGGGTTTGGTGTTAAGCAAGGGTAGGAAGGATAGGAAAGAAGGACTGGGCTCTCACCTGGGGGAGGGGCAGGCAAAATGGACCTACAGGCACTGACCTTTGTCAGAAGAGTGCAGCCTTCCCAGAATGGGAGGAGCAGGGTACAGCAGGGGTAGGGGGTGGGGTACTGGTTTCTGAGGGACTGATCACTTATTTGATAGAATACAGAACAGTCCTGGCTAGCCCGAGGAAAAGGGGACAGGAGCCCAGGGAGAAAGTAAGAGAGAAGGTGCATTTAGGGAATGGGGAATACAGCACCAAGGCAGACAGAGGCCTGGTCCCCATTCATAGCTGGACATCCCTTGTTAGCTTAAGGTTCTGAATCCTAGGGTGGGAAGCTGGGGCAGGCAAGCCAGGGCACTAGGAGAGGGTAATAGGAGGAGGGCTCATGCATGTTGACAGACCTACAGGAAATCCCAATATTGAATCAGGTGCAGACCTCTTTGCACAACTTGTGAAAGGAGGAGGAAGCCATGTGGGGGGTCCTGTGAAGGACCGGAAGGGGTCTGCAGAGGGGGCAGGGAGCAGGTGCGGCTACAAGACAGATATGTTGGTGGGTGGCTAAGGCAAGGTAAGCTGTGTAAGGTGGGCATCACCTGGTTCAGCAGGTGCCCATTCCTGGGCAACTTGCCTCAGGAAGGAAGTCCCACCCAGGACAGTTAGCCTATCTTTTTGCCTCTAAAAATGGGGTATTTCAGAACTTAGAATACAAAGAAAAATTCCAGAAGGCTTTATGCATGGGAATAAATAGGGAAAGGATGAGAGGTTCATTTCTCCATCTCCACACTGTCTTCTAATGTCTGACCTCTAGAAGTTCCAGTTAGTTACATCTCTGCTCAACCCCCCTCTTCAACCCCCCACCCACCACTGAAGTTGCCCCTCAACACATTGTATATGTTTGCTAGTTCCTTGTCCTGGCCGTGTAGTCCATTTTCCACTCTCTTCCCCAAGATTAAGGTACAATACTTTCTTTCTGTACCCTGGGGGTCCTCAAACTTTTTAAACAGGGTGCCAGTTCACTGTCCCTCTGACTGTTGAAGGCTGGACTGCGGGCCCCAGGACAGTCAGCTGCTAAGCAGGACAGGCAGCAGTGGCAAAAACACCTGGCATGCCGTAGGATAAATGTCCTAGGCGGTCTGCATGTGGCCCACGGGCCATAGTTTGAGGATGCCTGCTCTACCCTGTCCCAGATTTTCTGACCTAACAACTAAGGTTGCTCAGAATTTGAGGCCAGTTAAGATATCTGTGTATAGTCTGGGCATGGTGGTTCACACTAGTAATCCCCACACTCTGGGAAGCTGAGGCAAGAGGATCACCTGAGCTCAGGAGTTCAAGAACAGCTTGAGCAAGAGCAAGACCCCATCTCTGCCAAAAATAGAAAAACTAGCTGGGCATGATGGTACACAACTGTAGTCCCAGCTACTTGGGAGGCTGAGGAAGAGGATCACTCAAGCTCAAGAGTTTGAGGTTGCTGTGAGTATGACGCCACAGCACTGTACCCAGGGTGACTGAGTGAGACTCTGTCTCAAAAAAAAAAAAGTCTGTGTATACATATCATGTCTTGCTACTTACTCTCAGCAGGGATCAGAGGGCACAAACCTCTGTGTCAGATTCACTGAGGAGCCCTGACAAAAAGGAGGTGCCACCTGCTGCAATCACAAGAAGATGTGGGAGCAATCAGAGCTTTAGCAATTCTAGGCTGGTCAGCATCTCAAGCTGTGCCAGCATCTGTTCCTCCTGCCAGGCAGTCTTTTCTGATTAAACCATCACTATTCCTGTCACTTTCAGGATAGATTCCAGACCCTCTTCCTCAGCCCACTTTTGCCACACCCTACTCTGCCCAGAAGTGCAAGAGTCCAAGCCGCCTCCATGGCCTCAGGAAGGATTCAGGGGAGAGGCCCCATCCAGGGAGCCACTCCAGACAGACACCCTGGCCAGAATGAAGCTGACTGGTAAGAACACACTTGAGGAGCTAGGTCCAAAGCAAAACATGGTAGAGGGGGAAGGAGAAGGAAGACATATTATAGTAGGGGAGCAGGGGGAACCCAATCTCCCAAAAATAAGATGTCTACACAGCA